CTTCGAAGGGATTGCGTCTGTAATCCCGACTCAAAATTAAACTACCCGCCCAAAGAACGGTTCCCTACGAACAATGGATTAAACCTTCGAAGAAATGAAGCTTTATAATGACCAGTGTAGTATTATTACTTTTTTACCAAGTAGGTTTCATAACCGGGATTCAAATAAGATACTGAAAAGTACTGAAAACTATACTGAAACCCAAACAATAGGCTGATAAAAGTAATCTTCTATCTACGCTAAGGCGGTACGAAGTTCGCCGGGTCAGCTATACATAAATAAAAATGAATTGCTGTTCGTTAGTCTGATTAAAACTCGAGAACGGCTGGGCCGATTGAGCTGATTTTGGTTTTAAAATGTTTGTCGTAGTCCAGGGAAGGTCTAAACGGTGAGCAAATAAGGAAAAATTGCGATGGCTTATTTATTGCCTTTAAGGCGGAACAGAGTTCGCCGGGTCAGCTAGTAATTAATAGATCTCAACATACTCAACTCATTGTGAAAAATGTTATATGTATGTGGAAGTAACAACTTTTTGTAACTCTAGAATTCGATTACACCTACTAAAAGGCCAATAGGGATAATCAAGATGAATTAACATTTTCGTTCTTTTTGAAATTGCTTCGAAAGTTATTAAAATTATTAATAACGTTATTAAAGCATTCAATAACATTCCAAAATACATCGATTTACGGTAAAATATTACAGGAACTTAATTATACTGAAAATATCTTTACAGGAAGTTGAAAGTATCGGTTTTATACTAATAAGTATAGAGCGTAATTTCTGTAATATTTACCGTGACAATGTGTCTCCCGTTGTCTAGACTAGAGATCCTACAATCGATTGTCAGTTATTTACAGTTTGATTTTAAAACTGAAGATTCCAAAAAAGAGGTCATTTCACACCGTAGTATGTCGGTTTGATAGACCCACTTCAGACGCAAAGGTCTCGTTAAAACGACTATTTATACGGATAAATGGTAATAACGGTATTACAAATACACTACAGAAGCAAATTATGATAGATAATATATTAACAATCTAACTATTCCCTTACAACAAAAGTTACCTAACACGTACCACACAGTATACAGTCAACAGCTTGTCAGTCTACAAAATCGTTTCTGTAAAATGGTTCCTATTTCAAGCACATAAGTGCCACACTGTTTGATGTACCGGCGTCTCTACATTCACATGCACAGAAACTCTTGACAGCGCGGGCTGAATAGACGCTGATTATGTACCTACAAGTGTGCAAAAGCGAGAACCCAAAGTATCAAGTGACAGTCATGCTGCAGTTGAAACATTATGGGTCAAAGAAAATGCAATATTTATTACCGTCACAAACCATAAATTTGAATTTGCCGTCTGGCAGAGTGCCAAACAAAATGAAAAAAATATTCGTGCAAAGATAAAAAACTTTTTTACCAATCCATCATCGCTAGTATTATAAATGTCTTTGTAAAACTTTAGTAGGTTCATAGTATAGAAATATTCTTCTTTCTTGAATAAACCTTTCCATAATCGGCTTAGTTTCATTTAAATGAAACGTAAAACGTAAAAAATAATATTCATGTCGTCATTGTAAAACCAAAATCGTTTTCTACCTCCGCTAATTTAATTCTGACATAAAGGTAACACTTAAATTGATCACCATCAACTTAGTAATTAATTAATCAAGACTATAAACTAGGACATCGGTCATTAGTTAATTAAGACACGCTTCAGCGTCAACAAAATTTCTTAATAAATAGACCGATAAATTATGTATTTAGTATTCAAAGAAAAACATTAATTTACTCACTTTTTTATCAAATAAATGTTAGCGGATTTTATTTTATAGAGTGGGTAGTAGTGTACCTAATCTGTGCTAACGAGTAAACTGAATAAGTAAATAGGTTTTGATACTTACATAGAAAATTTAATTTAGGTGGCAAATCTTTAAAAGTTCGTTTTACAACTTTTTTTACGTTTAAGCTCTATGGTTTAGGCCATAGAGCTTTCTAGATTTTCTTAAGAAAAGCTTGACGATGTAATTTGAAATTTAATAACGAGTTAATCATAGCATAATACCTACAATACCCTACGACATGAACTCTGGAGAATAAAATAGGTAAATAACGTAATTGAAATGAAAGGCTGCGCAATATATTGTTATTTAATCTATTAATTGTACGTAAGATCAGTTTTTTCAAGATACCTACCAGCATAATAAAAGCAGTTCGTTGAAAATTACTTTGAATTGTTTAAAATTTTCACGAATAACCTATTTTTCATTTTACTTCAATAATAAAGAAGCCGCAAACAAGTTATCTGAAAAGTAAAGTAAACACAAACTCCTAGCCGTCTTTATTAAAATTTGATAGTACCTACTTCTGATTTTTATTTTACCGTTTCTGAAAGTTTCTTAAGATTTTAAAATGAAATGCCGAATTTTTTTCTTATAACGATGTAAAAGGCGGCCATATTTCTTCCTACACCCTATTTATTTCAATTTACATTAAAGCTTAATAGATTTTTACGACCCACGTAATTGTTAAAAAGGCTCTTATCTGCATAATTGCTGAAAATACTGCAGTAATAACATAATATAGTCACGTGTTATAAAATAATGATTTTGTGGATGGTCTTATGTTGAACATCAGATAAAGGTAACTTTTATGTGTTTTCAAAACTCCCTTACTTATCACTGTAACATAGTTAAGACTAACGTGCTCGACCAATAGATTCCTTTAAAATTAAATTAGATATCTAAACTTAAATATTACACTACAAAGACATGCCGTTTTTTCATGGAAACTCTGAAATACCGATTCACCTACAGTGTACGTAGGTAGAGGCATGTAGGCCCTACCTACACGAATCAAGGACTTAATTTTATTACTATTTTGATAAATTAGGATGATAACTTACAATAAGACCTGTAAGTATATCGCATCGTCATTGTGTCTACTGAATGCTGTAAGTATTTTAAGAAATGAAACTGTCGGTGTATTTTTAAAATGGCTTTTTCTACACTTACCTGACTTACCTTTCAGATGCGAAGAACAGCGGTCATGAAGCGCGTCGAGTCCAAACACAAATACATACATGAGAGAAAAAATAAACAATCTTCTATTTTCGCGAATCATAAGATTGGTTGGTCAACTCAATAATATAATCAATGTCTGTAGCATTTGAGGAAATGTCGTCCCAATAATGTTACTGGCACATGTGGGGAAATGTTCTGTGTTTATTTTATTAATAGTAAGTACCAACTTAACCCATTTAGCCCTACCGTACCCTATGTGGTACGGTATCTTTTTGAAAATATTTCGAAGTACCAAACTGTTGTTAATTTGTAAAAATGATCGTGAAGGTAAGCTTAAAGTGATTATTTTACAAAAAAATATTTTAAAATATGTTTTAACAAGTGGTTTCGGAAATATTTATGAAATTCCTCGACAGAAAACCAAAAAAATATTTACAATGATATAAGAAGGTATAATTTCTTATTACTCATGGTAAATTATGTTATTTATCAATTTTATTTTAAAAATAGAGTAGGTACAATAGATATCATGACTACAAAAAAAATATTATTCAGATTATTCAGATTTTATTCCAGTCTAAAATAGGTGTACCGTATAAGGTACAGTAGGTCTATGCATGAGCAAGTCATGCGAAAAAATATAATTAATATTTATTATTTTTATTTGTTTTAGGCTATTGATGCTTCACTATATTGCCACAACTCATGAAAAATTTGATAATTTCAGCAAACATAAAGCAGTCTTGGTATTTTTCTACTGCTGTCTTATCAGATGACCGCTAATGATGATCAGATTGACGAAGATTTAGGCGATAAAGATAGTGTCAATGTAAATAATAACCCTCAGAGTTTTCTTCGATGGATTTGCTAAATTTCCATCATCGTGTTGCTAAATGCGATTATGGATAGCACTAAACGTAACAAATCAGAAGAAGCCAGGTCTTCTTCAGCTATCCTCACTAACTTAGGAGAAGGTAGGAAAAAAGAACCAAATGTGGTTAGTATCACAGAAAACGTCTTACAAGATATGCCAAGTGTGATACTAGTGATCATGTGATTTTATTTTAATTTTATATCATACAAAAATAAATAAAAATCTTCTTCGAACAACGACTATGTTTTGCTTACTTATAGACCTACTGTACCCTATATGGTACGGGCTCCCCACGGCCCCCTATTTACGGATTATTTTTTTAAATATTTTTTTCATGATTTTTAGGCTTCCCTTTGTAAGTTTTTGCTGAAAAAACGATATTTATTTACAAAAATAATTATCGGTCTAAATGGGTTAATGGTAGACAAAGAAAAATGTTTACAGTACCTACTATGACCGAAACATGCATACAGTACTATGTTTCAGTCTTACATACCTGACCATGAAGGTTTATGTAAATATTAATAAACTCTTTAAAATACCTATGCGAGAAAAGTTTGAATTTAATTTGAGGATATAGGTAGGCCAGTAACTCTGATGATGCCGTAAGACACATTTGAGTTGAGAGAAGTTCAAAAATTGGAGCACAACTCATAAGCACATTGCGTGAGTAATTTACATCTATGAATACTGAACACGTTGCTACAATGACAGCTAATTGTTGCGAACTTTTTGACTCCTTTGGGTGTCACGAGCTATTTGAGGTTTAAAAACTAAGTAAATTTATTTCAATCGATAGTTAATTATTGTATTAATTAATATAATTTAGAGTCTCTACCATATTATTACTTTCAGTTTTTCAAATCTGTGCTCTTATTAATTAATCAAGCAACCATTACTGATTTCTAATCTCGTTTTACTGGAACCTGAGGTGGAATTGTGTAAAGCAATCGTAATCATTTGACAGTTCATAACGTACAATTATTCTGTCAAACGCTTTGTTTAACTGACTTTATCGCACGTTATGAACTGTCAAATGATTACGATTGCTTTACACAATTCCACCTCTGATCAGTTTATATAGTTTTAATCTAATCTAAAACTTACCCATATCATCAATAAGGGGCGCCATCCTCAGGGTGACGCCGACTAACAACAAGCAAAGGAACAACAGCAGGCACGCGGTCACCATGATGGTGTAACGCGCGCGACGTGGCAGCTCATCAGGATCCAGAACCTGGGACAAAGAAATAATTATATTTAACTTTAAAATCAGGCTTTTCACTTTAAAATCACCTTAATGAAAAACCCAAAAACCTTGCCACACGTAAAAAACGTCATCTACAAACACTGGATGTACTAAAAGAGAGCGTCCAATGACTTATTTCGACAACAGATGGGGCTGTATCTACAAAATAGGAGAACCTCCTCTGTTCCATGCGATTTGTTTTCGTAACGTTTGGATAGATGGCGTTAAACAACCAAAATATAAAAGAGGTTCTACGTTGATTTTTATACTTTTTGGCGGCAAAGTGAAGCGTCATGTTTAACAAAGTTTTTTTTATGTGAAATGTTTAGGCGAATACACAAAAACAGTTAAAGTTCGTTAACAAACATGAGCGTAGAGAAACTTAAAATTAAGAAGCATCATGATAATTTAAAGGTTACCAATAACCGGGCGATGTAAAAATCATTGGGGGAGGCCTATGTTTAGCAGTGGACTTCCTGTGTCTGAAATGATGATAATGAAACATGGTTGAATTTAGCCTAGGTAGGTAGGTACCTACTCATAATGACGGTTACGATCGGCCTGCGGTTCTTTATACCAAAGTTTTTTACACCACTATCTATTCCAGTCATAAAAAGAGACGCTGGGGCAGAGCACTCTAATCTAATATTAATAACGACGAATTCAATTTCATGCGAAGGGAACTAATATTTACATACGTTTAAAAAAAAAGTTGCTTCCCGCAATTAAAACTGCCATGAATGTTACTTTTTTGAGAGGGGCAGCTGATGACCTAAGTTTTGCCGAAGTGTCTCCTTGCGGAATAATCATGCGTAAGTCCAACTTACCTATTTATACAGAGGTTCGGTGGGAAATAACAACGTACCTATAGTACGAGAAGGGACAGTAAGAAACCCTACGTCATTTGATACTAAAATAAGCTCCATGGCACACGTTCAGAAAAGTTGTGCTAAGCTTGGAACAATAATTTAATAAACTCCGATTTGTCCGAAAGTACAAAAAAATTGCTATTTCCCGGGAAATAAAACGGGTCACTACGGGTTGTTCTAAGCTTAGCACAAGTTTTCTGGACGTGTGCCATGGAGCTTATCTTAGTATCAAGTGACGTAGGGTTTCTTACGACGGTCCCCTCTCGACTACTACTATTATTCTGCGTATCGGGACACTTGCGCAAAAGACATTAGCGCGAAAGACATTAGCGCAAAGACACTAGCGCGAACGGACGTTGGCACGAAAAGACATGAGCGCGAAAAACACTAGCGCGAAAGACATTTGCGCAAAAGACACTAGCGCGAAAGACATTTGCGCGCATCGACACTTGCGCGAAAGACACTAGCGCGAAAGACATTTGCGCGAAAAGACACTAGCGCGAAGGACATTTGCGCGAGGTATCAGGTACCAGAACCATTATTCTGTGCTTAGATCACAAATATGGAACTTACATGGATGACTTTAGCCTGCTCGTCGATTGCAGAGACGAGCAGCGTACGGTGCTTGCGCGGCTTGTGCGTGTGCGCGTGCGGGCTGCGCCGGCGCCGCCTTCGCCGCCGCTCCAGTTCCAGCTGCTCGGGGCTGCCCAGCTCCCTGGAGTAAACGAGACTAAGTGCTTGTTCACGTAGGCACGCGCGGGCGCGGGCGCGGGAAACGTCGCGAGCTCGTGTTCACATTGACGACCAGGCGTTCGCGCGAGTGTGACGTACTATCGTTTCTAGCGACAAGTGAAACGCGCGCGCCGCCGCTAGTTTGACATGAACACAAACATCTTCACGCGTTGAAATAACCGCGAGCGCTCCGCGCGCGCCAGTCGCTAGCTTGCCCGCTAGTTAGACCGCACGTGCGTTTCGTACGTGAACACTTGGAATCACTACATATGTTTGATATTTCGTCACCGCGTCCGCGAGTCAACGTGAACAAGCACTAAATATAGTGTCCGTTCTTCTTGTCGTGTCGACAACAAACCTACTCAGTGTGAGCCCAAAACTCTGCTAAAAGAGAGGCTTTGACGGTAGCAATCATTAAATCTTCCTGCGTGCAGTTGCATGGGCATGCAGGTCACGATATTTTGTGCTTCATCAACAGAGGAACACAACCAAATATCAAAATAAGTAAAAAATCTAAAAAGTGTCAGAACAAGGCGTTAGTAGGTGGTAGACGCAATCGCACCTGCCCTAATGTTAATGATCTCTGAATAATTTATTTGATAAGCTAACGGCTCATCAGCTGGTGATATAGTATATTATAAGTATTATGTAATTGTATGTGAAATTGTGAATGTACCCACTGCAATCTCGTTAGCTTTACATCAAACCCTAGTGGTTTTTAAAGCTATCTAAATGTAATTGTCCCAATGTAACTGTCAGTCTTTTAGTTGTTAAATAAATTTAAAAAAAAGTAAGTACATATTATGGCGAAAACGATTAGGTGCTACATGCCTACATGGCGGTTTCGTAGTTGGTTCTTTATTCATCTAAACAAGCTATTTAAATACATATTTTGTGCCTTACCTGCCTTTGCAAAAGTTATAGACTCGAATGTGAACTTATGGGGTTATCGTATTTGCTCTCACTAGAGTAGCGCCACTGTAAAGTAAGGTCCTGTCACTCGCCACTGGAGCCAACTGGTGAGCGGAATTACGAATTTCCAAATTATCTCCTGAATTTTCGACTCAGCATCCATGTCGTTAAAGTGTCACCATAGCGAAAAGCACTTTTGCGACTCTAATTACCTATGATGGGTTTGCAGCTTAAGCTTCTTCTGCCTGTGCCGGGAGACCTCATGCTCGCACCAGTGGGAGGGCAGCTCCTCGCCCGGGCTGCCAATTATCGACGCCTCCTCTGAAACGGTAAACGATATAAATCAGTAAAATCAAGATCTAAAATATAGTCCATCTGAATAGTTCAGACTGAGAAGATAATCAAAATATCGTTAAGGTTAACGAAAAACTGACCAGTATAAATAACACATCATCAGCTTTGGTCATTGAGGTTTTGCATCATAATACTAATAAAGTATTCAACCACATCGCAATATGAATTCATAATAAGTCTTCTCGAATTGATGCATTGGCTGCAATGTATTTATTATTAAATACCTACATAAAGTAGGTAAAGTAAATTTTGTTTGTTTGTTCTAATTCTGACTAGATTATCTACATACCAATTCAGTGATTATGAGAGAAAGAATAGAGCCATGGTCATCAGTGTCTCAACTTTAGCTAGTCGCTAGGGCCTAGTCTAGCCTGATCCGTCCACCAGCACCGCCTCCAGTATCTTACTGGCCTTGTTACTCCACTGGTCCACTGGTTGGGTTTTTATTGGTAGTCAAGCTGTGGACACAGGAGTTGCAGCGATGGGAACGAGTGGTGCAAATAGTCCCGTTGGCCTAGTTACTCTTTAGCAAGGGCAGGAGAAAGGAGTACTGACAGTACTGACCGTTAGGCAGGTGGTCCCTGAGCAGCAGCAGCAGCGGGTGCGTGCGCACGCGCCTTGCGCTCCACCTGTGCGACCAGCACCGCCTCCGTGTCTCACTGAGCTAGTGATGTCATAGCGAGGGCAGGGTACTGACCGTCGGGCAGGTGGTCCCTGAGCAGCAGCAGCAGCGGGTGCGTGCGCACGCGCCTTGCGCTCCACCTGTGCGACCAGCACCGCCTCCGTGTCTCACTGAGCTAGTGATGTCATAGCGAGGGCAGGGTACTGACCGTCGGGCAGGTGGTCCCTGAGCAGCAGCAGCAGCGGGTGCGTGCGCACGCGCCTTGCGCTCCACCTGTGCGACCAGCACCGCCTCCGTGTCTCACTGAGCTAGTGATGTCATAGCGAGGGCAGGGTACTGACCGTCGGGCAGGTGGTCCCTGAGCAGCAGCAGCAGCGGGTGCGTGCGCACGCGCCTTGCGCTCCACCTGTGCGACCAGCACCGCCTCCGTGTCTCACTGAGCTAGTGATGTCATAGCGAGGGCAGGGTACTGACCGTCGGGCAGGTGGTCCCTGAGCAGCAGCAGCAGCGGGTGCGTGCGCACGCGCCTTGCGCTCCACCTGTGCGACCAGCACCGCCTCCGTGTCTCACTGAGCTAGTGATGTCATAGCGAGGGCAGGGTACTGACCGTCGGGCAGGTGGTCCCTGAGCAGCAGCAGCAGCGGGTGCGTGCGCACGCGCCTTGCGCTCCACCTGTGCGACCAGCACCGCCTCCGTGTCTCACTGAGCTAGTGATGTCATAGCGAGGGCAGGGTACTGACCGTCGGGCAGGTGGTCCCTGAGCAGCAGCAGCAGCGGGTGCGTGCGCACGCGCCTTGCGCTCCACCTGTGCGACCAGCACCGCCTCCGTGTCTCACTGAGCTAGTGATGTCATAGCGAGGGCAGGGTACTGACCGTCGGGCAGGTGGTCCCTGAGCAGCAGCAGCAGCGGGTGCGTGCGCGCGCGCCTTGCGCTCCACCAGCGCGACCAGCACCGCCTCCAGTGTTACTGAGCTAGTGACGTCATAGCGAGGGCAGGGTACTGACCGTCGGGCAGGTGGTCCCTGAGCAGCAGCAGCAGCGCGTGCGTGCGCGCGCGCCTTGCGCTCCACCAGCGCGACCAGCACCGCTTTCAGTGTCTTACTGAGTGACGTCATAGCGAGGGCAGGGTACTGACCGTCGGGCAGGTGGTCCCTGAGCAGCAGCAGCAGCGGGTGCGTGCGCGCGCGCCTTGCGCTCCACCAGCGCGACCAGCACCGCCTCCAGTGTTACTGAGCTAGTGACGTCATAGAGGGCAGGGTACTGACCGTCGGGCAGGTGGTCCCTGAGCAGCAGCAGCAGCGGGTGCGTGCGCGCGCGCCTTGCGCTCCACCAGCGCGACCAGCACCGCCTCCAGTATTACTGAGCTAGTGACGTCATAGAGGGCAGGGTACTGACCGTCGGGCAGGTGGTCCCTGAGCAGCAGCAGCAGCGGGTGCGTGCGCGCGCGCCGCCGCGCCTGCTCCGCGTGCAGCGCGCGCGCCTTGCGCTCCACCAGCGCGACCAGCACCGCCTCCAGTGTTACTGAGCTAGTGACGTCATAGCGAGGGTAGGCTACTGACCGTCGGGCAGGTGGTCCCTGAGCAGCAGCAGAAGCGGGTGCGTGCGCGCGCGCCGCCGCGCCTGCTCCGCGTGCAGCGCGCGCGCCTTGCGCTCCACCAGCGCGACCAGCACCGCCTCCAGTGCTACTGAGCTAGTGACGTCATAGCGAGGGCAGGTGTACTGACCGTCGGGCAGGTGGTCCCTGAGCAGCAGCAGCAGCGGGTGCGTGCGCGCGCGCCGCCGCGCCTGCTCCGCGTGCAGCGCGCGTGCCTTGCGCTCCACCAGCGCGACCAGCACCGCCTCCAGCCGCGCCGCGCCGCTCTCCTCCGTGCATACTGCTTTGTCGACCGTCTGGAATCAAGAGTTGTTATTTGTTATTTGGTTGACATTGGTAAAAGGAGAGTCATACAACGTCACACTTAAGCTGAGTTGCACCACCTAACTTCGACCGTAACTTTAACGATATACGGTGTTTTTGTATGGTGTTTGACAGATTTTTGACGTTTGTCAAAGTTAAAGCAAGTTGCCAGCCTTAATTGTGTCTTTGAAACCGGTATCAAAAATCTTTTTGACTTTCATTTGGGCGTTATTAGCCACTTCAGTAACACAATCTGTTCAAGTGGATTCATGGATGGCTCAAACTTGGAGTGCAAGTGTGGTTTTGTTCCCCAGTCGTCGTGCCCTGCGAGCCCAAAGAACTACACGCAGGAAGATTTACTCTTGAGTTTTGGGCTGACACTCTGTAGGTTTTTTGTCGATACGACAAGAAGAAGAAGTAACTCAATACCCTTTTAGATTTTGTTTCAAACTTGTCGTGTACCTACATTTATCATAAGTTATAGTGCCGATAAGTTCACTGCCATGAATGTTTTACCAGGAAATTAAAATAATTTACTAATTAAACTCGAAATAAAGTATTTTATGAAATTAATTGTTTTGTTTAGACATTATGCAAATTATTTTCCTCTGTTTACCGCCACGAGCAAAGAACACGAAACAATTAAATCCCCTTTGAAAAGCGAAGCGTAAATGAGTTTTCCAAACGACTACGTAAATTGTTATTGATATTTATAAAAGCCTTTTAATAAATTAATAAACCTAAATTGGGCTGTACTTCAAAATTAAAGCCGCAAAATTTGTATAATGGCCTCTATAAAGGACATTTTAAGCACACTATGTTAACCACTAAGAGAACTGGCAGCTGCCCAAAATGTGAAGTAGCCGGTAATAGAAAAATAACAGATATATGTTTCTTAGATAAAACTATGTAGATTATTTTACAATACAATAGAAAGCTATATGGATTGTTGTCTTGGCCATGTGAACCATCAAAAGAGACGGCCTCGAGGTCATGGTGGTAATTTATCATCACACAACAATCAATCCATTAATAGACTACGTAATAGCGCGTAAGAACATTCGAAATAACACCAAATACATATTTGATGACTTTATGTAGGGCGAAATAAGTAATTTGTATTTTTAGTAATTAATAAACGAGTACATAAATAATACTAACGTGAAAGTTTAATAAATGAATGGAACTGAACATTTGTTTTCATCTCGCAAAAACTACCGCACTGATTGACACGAACGTATATTAACATGCAGCATTACATTCCAAAAGTATACTTAATATTAGATTATATAACAGATTTAGAATACTTTATGGATTTAACACGAGCTAAGACGTGGGCAGAAGCCAAGTAGATATACAAATAAGAAGTAAACCAGACTGTACAAACCACTAGCCCATTAAGTGAATGTCTGAAGATAATGTGAACATTAATTTTAACTGTCCTTAGCAAATAGCTCTATCCCGAGTTTAAAGGTCCTTATGAAATTAATTTCGAAGTTAAATATCAAAGTAATTTGAGCTTTTGTTTTTTACTTTAAAATTACTAAGGCATCATAGAAACTGAAAATTAGACTCTCTGGAAAATTTTCGAATTCATATTACAACAAAAATAAGATGGAAATAGGTACTCAGTACATGATATAAAGCTCCTAGCTCGCTTTATGAATGTTTCACTGTAGTAATTTAAAACAACAACTGCAACTAAGGTTGCAAAACAATAGTTTTGCATGCACAAACTGCAATGTCTGAAAGTTTCCAGTTTGCAATACTACTCGTATTTATTTACGATATACAAATTGTTAGTACTTCAATGTGCTACACATTCCCAGCATGGAGATTGAATATGTTAATAACCTATAATAATAAGATGGTATCAATATCAGGTTTATCAAAGCAGTTAAGTCATAGAACTGTGTAGGTAACAAATCATTGAGACAATTTTAATAACATTTAGGTTATTTTGAACTCTACATTTATTTTGTACATTGTACATTACGGACATTGTAAACACAAGTGGTTATATTGTATGATACAATAGAAAAACAACATTTTGAATTGTTTTTTGTTGCATTAATATACAAGACTCTACTTTTGGTTCTTTGAAAGAACCAAAAGTAGAGTCTTAAATAGAAAGAACTTCTTTCTCTAAGAATAAAATTAAATGTAGCATTTCCACCATTTCACAGTAGGCACACGTTGAATACCTATGCGCTAGATCGAACATATTCGGACCGAAAGTTTCCAGCTTGCGCGATCCAGGTCACTGCACTGCATCAGTGAAGTGCTCATAGTACCCGCGTTTGGTTCGAAAAGTTATATTATCACAGTTATGATATGTAGTTCATACCACCTTCTGTCTGTCACGCTTTCACGCCTATACTAATTTACCGATTTTAATGTTTGAAAACAGATAGTTTGAGTCCCAGTAAAGGACATAGGATAGTTTTTATCCCGGTTTTTTAAACAGGGATGCGCGCGATGAAGTTTAAAATTTCACGCGGGTGAAGCCGCGGGTACAGCTAGTTTATGTACTTATATGCAGGTCGTTAACTTGAAGGGAATAAAGATATGTTTCTAAAACGCTACGATAAACGATTGTATTGAGGATTTATTGCAGCGATTATGACTGAAATAAATTCTTGTTGGTTGGTCTTAAAATCACAGCTACACTTCTTTTGTTCGTGTGCACTTTTATACAGTCTGGAGAATAAAATATTATGACGTGTATTTTTCAACACAGTGAATTGTATCTTCATGATGGATCTCATTAAATATGTATAAATTCTCTTATATATTCTTTCTTTATATGAAAAAGATATGCTCAATCAATTTCAGTCTATCTTTCACTATTCATGAGTTTTTGACAGTGATGTATTGTAAGCATCATTCATAATAAGTGGCTATCCAATCTTTAAACTTTCAAGGACTTTAATCAATTAATAAAAAGGAAATCTAAGCTAAATATTAGAAGAAACAACATTATAAGAAAAATAATTTGCTTAAAATAACATTTCAGATCCGATCATCCGACACCACATTTGAAGCCCCTCCCACTGCTTTTGGACAATACTAATAATCCCACTGCTTTTGACTAGAATATTAGATAAAACAGTTAAACGGGACTTTTCCCTACTCTCGTTCCCACCGCTGTAATACCTGTGTATCCAGGCTCTACAGCTTGACCGCCAATAAAAACCCAACCAGTGTAGGTCAAGTGTATCCCGCGGGAAAGTTAAACTGTCATTGGACACGCAACAAAATTAATCGGAAGAACATAGGAGGAGTTCGAAGTTAAGGTTCGACTTCCCTTCATCGCAAAGCGGATGACAGTGGATGGATAACAGTTAAAGCAGTCCATAGATTATAAGATAAACTATGATATATACTTACGTCGGTCGACGGCTGTCGCATCGTGAGCGCGCGGCCGGCCCATGAGGCCGATCATCGCCTCGCACCGGTCGCTACCGGGCTCCCCGCACCTGCAACAACGGTCCAGCTTATACAGGCGTTCGTGATAACTTAGAGATAATAAAATTCAAAGTCACAAATAGCTGATACAAGAGTAGGCACGTGACGGCAATGCGAAAACACGAATTGGGAATATATCACTTTTATTGAACTTTTTCTCGTGAGGATATTAATTTGCAATATAACTACTATTAAAGTAGAGTTAAAAATATACACAGGTTTAGTTCGCCGTTTAAATATTAGTAGGACTAGGACAGGACTAGGATCGTAGGATACTTTAGTAGGTACGAATGTGTATTTATTTGGACAATATTTTACACTTTATTACGCACAATAACAATTAAACGCAATAGCGTGGTCACAGATCGCAGTAAATAAGTAAGGTAAGGTAAGTTTCCACGTTCATTTATGAAGTTTATGTGACAGTTTAGTTATAAAAATCCATTAAACTTTCTACAAACTTCGAAGCCGAACCAATTAAACAATCCCCTAAGCGCTAGTTCCAAGTCTTCACGCCACTGAGCAGGCGCGGCAAAAAACGTAAAATACAATGTAAAATTAAAACTTCAATTCATTTTACGGAAGCGCGATGCTGGCCAGAGAGGGCAACAGGAAAAAAATACTTAAAATGGCTATTTGGACTGAAATGCTTAACCGCAGCGGTGCTCTTCTTTGTTTATGCAAGCATTTTGACCTGAGGTTTTGACTGTTTCGAGAGAGCGTGTAGGAAGTTAGTGATGTTATGGAAGAAATATCATAGCAGCAGTCGCTCTTAACTTATGGCTGGCAAGTTATCTTAGGCTGGGTTGCATCATCTTACTTTAACTATAACAAACGTCAAAAATATATCAAACTCCATAAAAAAGTGCCGGTTATCGTTAAAGTGACGGTTAAAGTTAAGTGGTGCAACTCAGCCTTATTTATCATGAAATACTTCTCATCTTTGGATTAATTGCTATAGTTTAGTATAAGTGCTACAGTAGTGTTATCAAGTAAGTAGGTACTCGTATTTTTAAATAAATAGCACTTATGTTAGAAGACATTTTGCAAACATAAAAATTGCTGAAACTGAAGAACGATTCGCGTTTTAAAGTGCAGTACCTCTAGTAGGAAAAACTTTCGAGTTCGTTTCGTTGCGTATTCAAAGTGTCATCGAAAAATTTTGTATGAAAAATTAAACAGCGCCCCCTATATTATAGCCGCCCTAGGGGGCGCTGTTTAATTTTTCATACAAAATTTTTCGATGACACTTTGAATACGCAACGAAACGAACTCGAAAGTTTTTCCTACTAGAGGTACAGTAATGTCGACATCACCCGATCCCTTCCAAACCAGACACCATGCCTGACTAACAGTCGTAATTTATCACACCTCTTGAGTCAACAGTTACGAAGAACTATCGCGATTCTGGCAAAAAACCTTATCTGTAACTTTTAAACTTTTGGTCGCCTCCATTTGTGAAATCCATACCTACTAAGTATACCTGTCGCAGGCAAATTGTATGATTCCGCATTTTACAAACGGCGTCGTCAATTCACAAACGCTCGCTGTTCTATGAAATGCCGAAGGCAAAATGTAAATTGCCTTGGCACTTTATAATATGCCAAAACATTTGATAGCCAATTCAATCGCTGTTTACAAAATGCCGCGGCAAATTGAAGTATTTAGTTCTTTTTCTCACCACGCGAGGCGCTGCTAATCAAAACAAGAAAAATGGCGTCGGATAGTGGTTTTGTGATACAGAAAACAGTGCAAATTCTACGTATTCAAAGGACTTTTCACAAAAAAAGACATTTATTATACTTAGTGAGTTAAGAAAATTTTACGATTCACAAATAGGAGCAGTGAAAAAGCTATGGAAAAATAAAATAGTTTTTGAGGTTATCCGGCACGTAAAACACGCTAAGGTGACAATGGAATCTGGTGCTCGGAGGACTGCTGCGGAATATATTGGTATAAAAATATTGTGTTATGTCTTCTAGACTTCTTCTTGGTATAATTAAAATATAAGACTTATCTAAAGGACTGACTATCGAAACTTATTCAATGTCATATTTTTATGTACCTACCTATAGGTACGTCAATAGTTTAAATTAGTCTAGTGTTGTTTTTGTTACGAAAATATTTTAATTACTTTAGGAGTAGCAAGTATTTTAGGTTTGTCTTACTTGAATAGATACCTACCTGTTTTCTGAAATTATGTCTGATTTGTCCAACGTGTGTTTTATGATGGTCACCCTATTGCAACAATCATAGTCGAAATTTTATCAATTGAACGAGTTGCCAATTTGCCTTCGGCATTTCATAGAACAGCGAGCGTTTGTAAATTGACGACGGCGTTTGTAAAATGCGGAATCATACAATTTGCCTGCGACATACCTATGGTGATTGGTCCATGTTCTCGTATGAAAATATAGACACGGTAAAAGGACGTTCGCATTATTTCAAAATAGTGAAAGTCTAATACTGAACAGAAACTTATTGAAATAAATTGTGATTATCGTGAAATATTTATGCTAAAAGTGGATTTTTCCTATTTACAATTACGAGTATGTATAGTCTAACCACGAGTAAGCCTTAATTTAGTTACATCATACGCACATACAAAGGGAGTTTTGATTTATAACTTTTAAACTTTGGCCGTGTATGATGTCAGTTTTGTAACTCATAATAAACGGCTTAACGGGGGTCAAAACATTGAGGCAAACGAAATATGTAAATTACATAACATAATTATAAGATTATACATAAAAGCAGCTGTATTTATTATTCATTGTAAAGTTGACTAACGAATCTAATTCCTGTACAATACCAAAAACTAATACCAATGGCATTAGAAATAAATAGATCATGGCGGGATCAATTAAGTACATAGGTACCTATTTAAGTCAATGGGGATGTTGCCTGGGTCAAAAAGCAAGAGTTTTAATTAGTCCGTCAGTTAACTTATCAAAAAATACTCTACACGTATTTTTCACTTTTTCAAACTAATGAAAATTTAAAGAGATAAAGCGCCCCAAAGTTCATAAGAAGAGGCCCGTGACGTCAACGCTTGCTTAAAAATGCCGCACGTTGTGACGTCGTGCGCAACTTCAACGCACCATAACTATGTAATTATTTGTTAGATTGACAAATAAAAATATATGTGTCCAATATTTTTTGATATTAAACATTACGGACTAAAAAAATTTTTTTAGGCAACTAGCCTATTACTGAAGATAAAAGTTTGTTATAGATATCCTTATTAAGCCCAATAAAGCACTTGACTTATTAACTACTTAATGAAAAAATACTTCTTAGAAGTTATCTAATGTAAATCTGACTTAAAATGTTTTTCTTTCGCTGCCCCACGGCTACTGAGCCTACAATAGATACGGACCTGTATGCCATTGATATATTGACGTTATTTATTTGGTAACAGGTGGCAAGTACGTGAGGGGATTGTAGAGGCCTGGTCTACAGGGCTGGGGGCACGCATTCTATCAGTTTATATCGATGTAACATTTCGATTCAAGCAATTTCGGAGTATTTATAGAGGTAATAGACTGCATTAGGCTAGTTACTCGACCATGATTCTAGTAAAATAATTCATTAATCCCACAAGGTCCACAAGGTGGACCGACGGCATCATAAAGGTAGCAGGAAGGCGCTGGACGTAGACCGCTACCCTTCGATCAACATGGAAAACATTGGGGGAAGCGTATGTTCAGCAGTGGACGTCCTATGGCTGAAATCATTACAGATGATGTTGATGATGACTTCATTAATTACGAATAAGTAAGCGGTAGGTACAAAAAAGATCACACGTCGCTTGTTTTGTGTACACATACTGTGTACACAAGCAACAAAAAGCAATTTACATTATCAAAGTACATTTCCCACGCGTTTTTGGAAACCCATTTGTTTCGAAGTGAAACAATATGGTACGCAAAACAATTTCGTCCAACGACCTCGGATGATGTTATGCAAAAGTGAGCACCTGCATACCATTATCTTACTTGTTATTTGCTCTCGTATCATAAGGTACCAAGTAACAAAAGGGAACGCTACTTAGGTTATGAGGGCATTTTTATTCCACAAAAAAGCGGACGTGAAATATGAGAGCCCCCGGAGCTGTGAGAGTGAAATCATGTCTCTTGAAGATACTTGTGTGTAGGACTTATGACACAGAATTCTGGAATGGATGACATCATATGTACGAGTATTTGTCGGTTAGTGGTGAAGATAAAGTCCCGTTTGAGATAAAGCGAATGAATTTATACCATGCAACGTCAAAGTCGCAAAAGTTCAACTTAATTTATAGGTTAAAGTTATTTTATGAACTTAGACTTTATTTGGCTTTGAGATACAAGGGATGATTTTTTCAATTAAACGAAAATATTATCTATTTTTATTAGTATAAGTTTTCCAATTAAAATCTATTGCAGATTTGGCAAAAACAAACCATTTTCTGTTATAATTCTATTTATTCAGTGATCATTTTTATGAAGGCTCTTCTTAATTAACTTATGCAAAAATAAGTATACTTACTTCGTCATATAATATACTAAATGAAAAAAAAGATGTTTACTCACCGAATATTATTTTAACCAGAAAACACAAACGCGGCAATAAATAGACAGAATAACATACAGTTTCCGTAGTTCGTGTCACATACAAACCGATTATTACACTCACAAACATATAATATACTAACATACCTTGACAAGATTATGTGCTAACCAAAAGATGATCTTTAATACGAATTTTATCTCTCGCTCTTTTGTTATCAGCTGGCGATGAGAAGAAGTGGCAAAAAGCTTCATCCACGTTTGTCAACCTTTACAATATACCTATGTAATGCGTGCGAACTGTACGAGTACTTTGACATTTATGACCTTTTAAAATTTAAAATAACAAGTTCATCTTTTAAACTCACTCGTATACCCGCAAAAATGTTGTCGAACGTCGCAACACACTCTACGCATGACTTTCAAAAGGTGCTTATCATGCTGGGCCTCGTTAGACCCCTACCTTATTGTCAAAACAAAACACGGCTCTTTCATTCGTATTGCGTACATTGTAGTACCAACAGTATAACTGCATTGCGTTCGTGCCGAAACATAGCATCTGCGGT